AGCGGGAGGGCATTGAAATCTAGTGGAGCCAATAAAATGACCTTTTTTAAATCAACTTGCTCTGGGTGGAGGGTGACATTTTTACTGACGAATACTGCTCAGCATTCACTCTCAGCTTTAGCCTTTTGAAGTTCAAACTTAATTGCTCTGTTTACTAAGGTTTTTCCCTGGTTAGGATATATTTGATTACTTTGGGAGGGAGATTGTATGATTGAGACACTCCTAATTTGAGTTTTTTCCTTTAGTACAAAATGGATCTGTACATCAAAAGGATGGATTAAATGATGATGATTTTGAACCTTACTTGAGTCCCCAGGCAAGGCCCGTGAGTAATTAACCATTTACATGCCTGATCAAAGGGTGTATACCATTTTCTCTTCCCTATCAATAAGTCTCACTTTCAGGGGTGACTTTCTTACTACTAGTTAATGTGTTATAAAAAGTTGTTACAAATGTATAGACTCTTAGGATTTGTATCTCTCTTGTCAGTGAACATACTGTGTTCTGAGACTAGTTCTGATAGTACTAGTTACAGTGTACTAACAGTATCACCTGTTTAAGTAATTCTTTCTCCTTACCAAGAACATACAGTGCAAAACTTAATCCATTCCAGTGTTAAATATTCTGAATTTTCACTCCCAAACTTTTTCTTTTCTGCAAATTGGATTCATATGTGATGGGAAAAACTAATAAAAAATCACCTGAACTTTATTCAGTGTTGCAGAACTGGGTATTCTTCCTCTCCTCTGATCACTAGTTAGTGAGGTCTTAGATTAGAACTGTTTGGAGGTAGGTACTTGTTTTTCAGTTTGAGCTGTATCTACATTATAGAGACCAACTTTGTATATATACCTTTGGATTCCCATATAAGGGAGCTATAGGATTTACAAAATGGAGTTAAAATATTGTTTAGCACAAATTAAGATCAAGAATGATTGAGGTTTTTGTAATTTAATCTATCTTCTAATGTGAAGATTAGATGTGTACAGGTAAATGACCGGTGCGTATAGAGACTTTTTTAATGTGGCAGTTCTTTTGTATAAATATCTTCTGCCCCGAAGACATAGTTACAAAGTTGTAGCAAATATAACTTCCATACTAATAAACCAAGAGGAAAATTGACAATAACTCATCCAAAATATCCTAAAAGAAGCAGCAGCTTATTGAACATTTATATAAATTCTGAACAGGTGCTGTGTGATAGATGTAATAGTCACTTGGCATATTAGCATATGTCCCTATTTGGACCTAATTCTTGCATAAAACTTTTAGATTTCCTTCTGTAAAATTTTCCTCATTAAATATATAGAAACCACTTAAGCAAGCAATTGGAAAAAAGTTTTTGCAGAAGACAACCAGTCAATCAGGAAAAGTAGGAAAGGAAGTAGAGGAATGAACTATTAATAGGTTCCTGCTATTGAAGTAGTTTGCTTACATAATCATTATAACAGGGAGAGTGGGAACATTTGGAAATATAATTCTAGGTAGTTCTTGTGAAACATTGTGTAATTCAGATTTTTGAGCTCAGTGGCATGTGGGAACCTGCTAGTTCAGTTGTAGGCATTTGGCTATATAATGGCATATAACCTGTAATAGTAAGTGAATTTTTTCTTAAGTAAAAGCTTAACTGTATTTTTAAAATATTGGGGGGAAGGGGAATCTAATAATGTCAACAATAGCACACTTAAAATATATTGGGGGGAATAGAAATCTTCGTTGAATAGACAACCTAAGAATCTTTGTCCATTGTAGTTTACCTTCAAGAGTAATTCATCTACTTTTTAATCAGTACTTCACCTTATGTTGGAATAATCAATCCTTTAGGCTTAATCCAGTCATTATGAACTGAATTTTTTATACGTAACGAATTTGGGTTTGTTAAAGTATTAATGCTGTCTTTAAGAAATGCCCTTAACTTCGAGAGAAGTCTGTGTGTGAAAAGACAGGTTGTTTTTTTAGGAAAACTTAAATTGGCAGAGAAAAACACCACCATTTTATCAAACTACATTAATGGAAACATTTAATCTTTAAGAGATGTATTTTAGTGGCTAGGGAGAAGTACTCTTAGTTTTGGTAATACAAACAAGGCTTAAAATAGTGGTAGTCATCCAAATCTCTTAAGAATAAAACTCCGTATTTTGACTAGTTAATGGATTCTTATATACCAGAACTATTTTAAATTACCCTTTTGAGTTATCTATATTTATAGAGACCAACTTTATGTATTTCTAGCTTCTTATTTAAGGGACTATTCTGTGAACTAAATAAGATTTATTAAAAAAAATGAAAATACTTTTAGCACAAATAAAATCAAGAATGATTGAGAATTTTGCAGTGTAGTCTGTCTTCTAATGTGATGACTAGTTGCTTATACGTTTATATTTTTGGCTATTTTTCAAGATGATTCTCTTTAAAGATAATGGACTGTATGGTGTCTTTAGAATTATACTTCTGTTTTTAATGGAAAAGTTGGGTGTGCATTTTAGATTATAGCCATTAGTTTTATAGGAGAAGCAGAACAGGTAGCACATTTTTTTCTAGTTTTAAATTCTCTGGAAGCTACTGTACATTTTCTTTCCAGGTTATAATTAAATAGTGACATCTGTTGATGTTCCCAGATGATTTGCCAAGAGGCTACCACTGTAAACTAGATGTAGTGAACCTGTTTTTTTTTTGTAAAAAAAAAAAAATCAAATTTATTTGACACATACCAAAATGTCTTTAAATTATGAATTTTTTTTGTACTTTGATAATTGAAAATAAATGCATGCACCAATATTTTAACATAGAATACAGTGCATAAATCAAACCATATAAATATTTACTAATAAGGTTTAAGAAGTTTTCATGATACAGAGATTATTATTCTTTATCATTGTAGAACCTTGCATTTTGATTTATGGTTGAGGAATGGCTACACAAATTTTTGGGATAGAGCCTGACATTTCTGCTTCTTTTTGTTTTGTTGTTTTATCTATTATAGGATGGGTTTAACAGGAAACTCTTGAACACTCCTTTGTTCTGCCAAAATTTCCTCTCAAATCCAAAGATACTGGTTTTAATAAAAACATCATCTCAACACTTATAGAGCAAGACTTAACTGTTGTTGAGATGCTGGATTTTCCCTTTTCTGAAGTGTGGTGCTAAGACATTTCAATTATTAAACCAAAATTTCTTAAACTATAACCGAAGGAAGTTTATGGACGAGACCATCTGAAATGGTCACTCTTCTATTTTTATGGTAATGGATGAAATATTTGAATGGTGTGAATAATTGGGAGAGGAAATGCCCTGATTGTTTTATTTATTTTTGTGTTTTAATTATGATTTTTTTTCCCCCCCACAGAATAATGCATATACTGCCATGTCAGATTCCTACTTACCCAGTTACTACAGTCCCTCCATTGGCTTCTCCTATTCTTTGGGTGAAGCTGCTTGGTCTACTGGGGGTGACACCGCCATGCCCTATCTAACTTCTTATGGACAGCTGAGCAACGGAGAGCCTCACTTCCTACCAGATGCAATGTTTGGACAACCAGGAGCCCTTGGTAGCACTCCATTTCTTGGTCAGCATGGTTTTAATTTCTTTCCCAGTGGTATTGACTTCTCAGCATGGGGAAATAACAGTTCTCAGGGACAGTCTACTCAGAGCTCTGGATATAGTAGCAATTATGCTTATGCACCTAGCTCCTTAGGCGGAGCCATGATTGATGGACAGTCAGCTTTTGCCAGTGAAACCCTCAATAAAGCTCCTGGCATGAATACTATAGACCAAGGGATGGCAGCACTGAAGTTGGGTAGCACAGAAGTTGCAAGCAATGTTCCAAAAGTTGTAGGCTCTGCTGTTGGTAGTGGGTCCATTACTAGTAACATCGTGGCTTCTAATAGTTTGCCTCCAGCTACCATTGCTCCTCCAAAACCAGCATCTTGGGCTGATATTGCTAGCAAGCCTGCTAAACAGCAACCTAAGTTGAAGACCAAGAATGGCATTGCAGGGTCAAGTCTTCCACCCCCCCCAATAAAGCATAACATGGATATTGGAACTTGGGATAATAAGGGTCCTGTGGCAAAAGCCCCCTCACAGGCCTTGGTTCAGAATATAGGTCAACAGCCAAGCCAGGGGTCTCCCCAGCCTGTAGGTCAGCAGGCTAACAATAGTCCACCAGTGGCTCAGGCATCAGTAGGGCAACAGACACAGCCATTGCCCCCACCTCCACCACAGCCTGCCCAGCTCTCAGTCCAGCAACAGGCAGCTCAGCCAACCCGCTGGGTAGCGCCTCGGAACCGTGGCAGTGGGTTTGGTCATAATGGGGTGGATGGTAATGGAGTAGGACAGTCTCAGGCTGGATCTGGATCTACTCCTTCAGAACCTCACCCAGTGTTGGAGAAACTACGGTCCATTAATAACTATAACCCCAAGGATTTTGACTGGAACCTGAAACATGGCCGGGTTTTCATCATTAAGAGCTACTCTGAGGACGATATCCACCGGTCCATTAAGTATAATATCTGGTGCAGCACAGAGCATGGTAACAAGAGACTGGATGCTGCTTATCGCTCCATGAACGGGAAAGGCCCCGTTTACTTACTTTTCAGTGTCAACGGCAGTGGACACTTCTGTGGCGTTGCAGAAATGAAATCTGCTGTGGACTACAACACATGTGCAGGTGTGTGGTCCCAGGACAAATGGAAGGGTCGTTTTGATGTCAGGTGGATTTTTGTGAAGGACGTTCCTAATAGCCAGCTGCGACACATTCGCCTAGAGAACAACGAGAATAAACCAGTGACCAACTCCAGGGACACTCAGGAAGTGCCTCTGGAAAAGGCTAAGCAGGTGTTGAAAATCATAGCCAGCTACAAGCACACCACTTCCATTTTTGATGACTTCTCACACTATGAGAAACGCCAAGAGGAAGAAGAAAGTGTTAAAAAGGTAACCAGCTTACCATTCTTAAGACTTAGGGAAGGGGAGAAGGAACTAGAACAGGAGGGGTATTATACTGAATAATAAAAGCTTTAAAAAAGCTCTGTAAATAACACAAGTATCACATAACTGTTCAGTCCTTTATGGGAGTATAACTGGTCTTACCATTTGAACCTTAGTATGAAGGAATGTGGGAACATCAATGGAAGCAGAACTGTGGGCTTAAAGGAAAACAAACAATGTAGAGAAAATGAATTTACATAATGCAGAAAGAGGTGAAGAATGAGTCTGAAAGAAATGCAGAGGGAATGACTGAAGTGATAAAACTATGGAAATTAAAGTACGAAAAGATTGAGGCTGTAATAAGGCACAGAAAAAGATAAAAGTTCTGTTAGAATTAACTTTTGGCTTAACAGGTACTGTGGTTTTTCCCAAGAGTTGGTGTCTGACCAAGGCCTGACATCATCTTTCAGTCTGTTTTTAAGAACTTTCTTGCTCCTATCTTTGGTGGTCTTTTTTCAAAACCGTTTTCCCATTGGAAAAGTTAAATGTTTATTATATAAAACTTGGAAAATGGATCATCAGAAAAGGCTGACCTCTTGCTCTTAACATTTTGTTGTATTCCTGAAGAGTTGCTTTCTCTTGTTTCCTTTGTAACAAGTGGGAATCTTGGGTAGAGGGATGGAAAAAAGGTACAAACTAAGGAGTTGAATTTTTTTGAAAGAGTTGGTAATGTTTGGTCATTGTGTATTGAATGAATGTAAACTTTAGGGCCATAAAATAATGATAAAATGCTGGTTGGGGCGGATCATATATTACCTTGGACTTAGACATATTTAACATGTAGGAAGTAGGTAGGATTATGGGCAAGGAGGGAGTTTCTTAAAAAGACCTGTAAATGATTGAGAGAATCCTGAGCAGTTAGTCTCAAATGTAAAATAAAAAACAACCTGGGGGTAGAGGAAGGAAAGTATAAGGAGGATAAATGGTGATGGAAGGAGACTTGGGGTGGTGAACACACTACAATATACAGGTGATATAGAATTGTACCCCTGAAACCTCATTTTATTAACCAGTGTCACTCCAATAAATTTAATTTAAAAAATAAAAACAAAACCTAACAAGCTTATGTAAATATATTTTTCTTAAACTTGTTATGAATTCATAGAGATCTTATATATTTGATCTAGAATCTGAGGCACTTGTTATGCCTCTATAAAAACTCGTTTGAACAGTGAGAGGAGTGCTCTTTAGAAGGTTTCTTCACCTCCATACTCAGGATCAGAGGTGCATAGTTCAACTAAAATAGGATGGTTGTCATGTATTCTAGTGTGTACAAATAAAGTTTTAGCTACACTTATTAGTGATGCTAAAAGTATTGGAGATATAAAGCCAGGTTACCAAAAAGTTGGCTGTCAGAAACTTTCTCCTTTTTAGTCCTTTAAACTTAAAATCTTCCATAGTCTTGTAGAAAAAGATTAGTGGTTATTTTTGCCAGACATCCGAAAGGCTCTAAAGATGTCTTCACAGGCTCCTGTTTCTAGAGGTACAAGGAAGGGGAGGACAAGACCTTTTAGGCACCATGTAGTGGCATGGCAGGTTTTTAACGTGTGTGAGGAGATGTCCAGGTGCTTGGTTTAACCATTTGAAATATGCATAATATGTATCTCATATTACCAATCTTTCATCTGCAAAGTTTCTGTCTTACATTTGTGATTAAAAGTAGGAAGACCAGCAGGAATATTTTTAGGAATGCACACCGTAGATGCTAAGATAAACTGGTATTGTGTAGAACCATGGGGAAACTTTGGTTTAAAAATGAAGTAGCAAATTTGAGAACTGTTAATTTATGTAAACTTTTAAGCAAGTATGTATTTATATTAAATTCACTTGTGGTTTGGTGCATGATAATTGAACTTTATAAGTAGGTGTAAGCCCAGCCGGTGTGGCTCAGCCATTGAGCATTGACATATGATCCAGGAGATCACAGGTTTGATTCCTGGTCAGGGCACATGCCTGGATTACAGGCTTGATCCCCAGTGGGGGGCATGCAGGAGGCAGCCCATCAATGACTCTCATCATTGATGTTTTTCTTTCTCTCTTCCTCTCCCTCCCTCTCTCTGAAATAAATAAAGATATATTTAAAAAAAAAAAAAAAAA